TATATATATATATATATAAATCATCAAAGAAAAGTGATTCATATATAATTTAACAGTGTTAACGTCTATCTTCATTTATATTATAGAGTATATATCATATTGACTGTATAGACAGTAGAAGATCCCGGGTTCGAATCTTCGTTGAGGCACCTACCGTACTTTTTCACAAACAAGACCCCGATGGGGATCGTGGTTCCTATTAACGTTATCTTTAATATTCGCATTGTTGAAATACTTATCAATTGACGGCCCTGTTTTTTTTTTTTTTTTATTTTATTTTTTTTATTTATTTTAATCACTGAACATACAACTAGCAAAAGTAACAGAAAGACAAGACAGAAGCAGAAAAAAGGAAGGAATGAACAATTGTCAAAAACTTGAAAAACAATTACACGCAATACCAGAACAGTAAAATGAGACAAATGACCGCCCTTTTTTACACCTTTTCCCCCAGTTTTTAAATATATTTAAAAATCTGTATCTCATTCACCGTTCCCCAGTTTTTCGTCTGACAACTTTTTTCTTTCTTAGAAAAATCAGTGCTACAACATATTAAACATTTTTTCCTCCGAGTCTGACTTTAATAAGAGGTCCACTCCACGCTCACACGATAAAGCTCTACTACATTTCTAGAAAGAGCTCAGGAATAAATAAGGATTTATAATGGTCACTATCCCAATCCCGTATTATGTAAAGTGTAAGCTTCCATTGGTACCGAAGGTTTCCACTTTACTAGTAGGTTCTACTCATAAAACGACATTTCTCAATGCTCACATTTGCGTTATGACATTTTTAAAATATTTTTACCAGTAGTACTTGCGTAAATTTATATTCTTACCATACAAATTCCAGAGCAAGTGACTTGCTGGACATTACTGGGGTTCGTTAGAGTTTCTCCGCAGGACGGATCCGTCATCGTTGTACAGTTATAACACATGAGAGCATTGCTAACATCTGAGAACGAAATACAACAAAAATTTATAAATAAAAACAACTTCACGCAACACTGAAAAATAACGATCATAACGTTAAATACACTTTTACTGGTATGAACTTTTACCCATTAGTTTACAATTTTTAAATGTTAACAGTTTATAATTGAGTTGTATCATTAGCACCTATTAATTGAACTTAAAATAACTGACACTATATGGAGAATCATTTTAGTGCGGTCATTCTGTATGTTACTCTGCATTTTCTATGAATTGTTTCAATTTTCCGTGTGGACACGGAGTGTTATCCATGGTTAGCTATTGATTTCATTTGATTTGACTTGAAGGCTGGCAACAACATCACCAGCATCAACAAGTAGAAACAGCAAGTGTGTAACCTCTGCGAGGGCCGTAACTATGGAGCGCGCTATAGCTCAGTATTCGGTTCTTAAACTGCAGTTCGATTATCGAGCTCCATACGCTCTCACCGTGTATACTTCTGTCATTCAGGTATGACTGAATGCAGGGGCGGATCTGCACTGGAATTTACGGGTGGGGGGGGTGTCAGGATTATGAGTGTTCAAATTCACCAAGGTCAATTCACTAAAACAAGGGCGCAGATCTGTTTTGATAGTGGGGAAGGGGACATTTAGTGGGTACACGTCCACTTCAGCCCCACCATTGTTGGGGCTGAGGTGCGAAAATTTGAGGAAATTACACTCCTAGGCCTATAATTTATATAGTAAAATTCATCACATCACCATTATAGTCAAAATGAAGCGCCAACAATTTTTCTCATGATTTTTATCAACGATTTTCAGCACCCATAGAGATGTAAATGTAGTGCCATAGAAAATATTTAAAAATTGTGCTGATGTATTTACTTCACTTCACCTACTTCAAAGCCGTGAGTCGACGCCCAATTTGAGGAAATAGTACCCTCTAATAGTACCCTCTAATAGTACCCTCTAATAGTACCCTCTAATAGTACCCTCTAATAGTACCCTCTAATAGTACCCTCTAATAGTACCCTCTAATAGTACCCTCTAATAGTACCCTACCCTCTAATAGTACCCTCTAATAGTACCCTCTAATAGTACCCTCTAATAGTACCCTCTAATAGTACCCTCTAATAGTACCCTCTAATAGTACCCTCTAGATTGCCGAAAATGGCACTCTTGTGTAGTAAAATTCATCACATCACTAATATTGTCAAAATTGAGCGCCAACTATTTTCTCATGATATTTTATGAGCGATTTTCGCCTTTAAAACAACAACAAAATTAATGTATTAACTGTTTTCCCTACCTGTTCCCAATAAGATCTATATATGTTTATTTTATGCATTCTCAATTTGATATAGTTTTTATGTCTCCCATCTCATATCCACGACGTAAAGCGCTTCTAATTATTTTATAAAATAAACAAGGTACATAGCCGTCAGAAGCATTTTGTAAGTGGTCCGGCCATTTTGATAAGAGTGTGTGTGGGCGGGTAGTGGGGTGCAACACATTTTTTTTTCACCATGGTTGAAAAAATGTCTCCTCAGCCGGAAAATAGCACATGCATAACTTTTAAAAAAAAACAAACAAAAAATAATGTATTCACACTTTTAATTTAAGGGTTTAAATTTTAATTTGAAGAAGGCCATTTACCTTTGCCAACATTTTATAAGATTTATTTGTTACCTTCCGTAACATTTTTTGTAACATTTTCAAAATCAATCTTAAATATTATAATTAAGGATTGTCAATAAAGTTAAAATGTAAACGGCAATACAAAAACAAGCCCATGGTGGATTAAAAAATATATATAGGCCTATACCACATTAAAAAGACAATGTGATACGAACATTAATAATAAATCCACATAATATAGTAGTGTATATTCATTAAAATAAGTACAGTAATAGTTCTCCCTCCAATTAAAGACCCCTCCAATTAAAGACCCCTCCAATTAAAGACCACCTCCAATTAAAGATGGCTATCTTTTATCATTAACTTTGTTGGTAGGACGTTAATGTTTGTATTTTCGGAATGGATAAATGGTTTTTTTAAGACTCAGTAACAGCATACAATAATCCATTCTAAAACACTTACAACTAAAACAAACTTACATTTACTATATCGTTTATTAATTCCCCTCAAATGGAGATATTTAATGACCCATTTTAGTGCCGGTCTTTAATTAGAGTGATTCTAATTAATTAGAGACCAAAGCTGCTAAAGACGACTAAAACCCCGATCCCAAAAGTGGTCTTTAATTGGAGGGAGACCTGTAATCAACAATGACCTTCAACTTACCAGCAAAATACATCATGGCAATGGCCAGAAGCAGAAATTTAGAGTCCATGACAGGATAATAGTTTTATACACAGGCTGAAAAATAAATACCAAATATTATTAAATGGCAAAATTAATGCTGAGAAACAAGTGGCTGGTGGTTATTAGAATGTTCATCGGTTTTTAAAAGAAACGATCCTCATTTTGTTGATTAATGTTTTAGTGTGGTAGGCACTAGATGCTTTAGCGCGCCCTCATGAGCCAATGCCATAAAAAACCTCAATTTAATCCTCAGCACAAATATTTCCATAACATAAAGCTTAATCATCAATCAAAAGGTCAAACATTATTGTATTAGTAAGTAAGTAATTTATTCGGAAAACTACACTTTTTTAACAGTGGCACACTTCAAAATTTTCAAGGTGCGTCCAAAAGAAATACAGTACACAATTTAAAATAAAAGTACTTATAACAATGCAAATGACATGAATAGAAAAGGCAAAAACGAAATGCTCAACTAAAGATAATATAAATTAAATAAAAAATGTGAAATAAATATTATACTTTATGTTTTTTCACAGGATTATACATAAAATATATATATACACACTCATACATATATATATGTATACATATACAGTTGAAAAGCTACAGGGTTGTGTTCCATCATGTCCTTATTAAACACTGTATAGGCCTATGTACCTTTGATGATTCATATTATATATACATATATATATATATATATATATATATATATATACATACATCAATATTTGTATACATATATATACACATATATATACATATATATACATATATATACATATATACATATACATATACCTACATGTACATACACATATATATTATAAAATACAAAATATTTTTAAAAGGTACCAATGTACCACAAATTCCAGAGAAATGACCACACATTTTTTGTTAGCAAGATAATAGAGCATAAATATCAAAGACAAATCAAATGTGAAGCGAAAATTAATTTATATATATATATATATATATATATATATATATTTTTTTATTTTTTTTTTTTGAGCATAATCCTATAGCCATATAAACCATCGCTTCGAATAAGGTATTTACCCGATAACATTCACATGTTTAAGTCAGATATAAGTACGAGTATAATAATAAACGATTAACAATGAGAATGAGACAACGTTTCCAATTTTATATATGAAGGAACTTGTAAATTCAATGATGTGTTATACCAATAAAAAATAATTATTAATAACTATATCAATATTAAGTAAATATTTGGTTATAGGCATAATATTTCGAACGTATGTTGGAGATTTGTTACATGTTGTAGATTTGTACATACATTTTTAAATAAAGAATACAAGATGATGACATAATTAATTTTAACACAAAATTTATTGACAAAAGGATCGACGTTTCGTGTCCATCATGGACGCATTTTTAAGATCAAGTGAACAAAAAAATATACACATGATAGAAAACCAAATGTAGGTGACATGAATTAGGATTACACAGTAACATGATTAACACCTAATATGTTAACAATAGCACAGTATCTTTATTGAGCATGGAGGGGCTAGAGTAATTAGTTTAGATTAGATAAAGAATTTTGCTCGTGAAGGTTAAAATTAAATCCTTAATCCAGAGCATTTCTAATAATTAAACAATCAAACTTTGTTTTGCATTTAGATAATATTCTGAAGCGTTCAACAGCTTTAAGATCACTTATATCAATCAATCAATCAATTTATTTGGAAATTGCACCTTTGCATCGGTGGCACACACAAAAAGTGGTGCATCCATAAGAATAACACAGCACGTCTTAAACTAATCTTACAGGCATTAAAGAGCTACAGTAGAAAATACATTTGAACAAAATTTTCGGTCTTAAATTAATACACAGAACATATTCAATCAGAATACCATGGAGGAATTATACCATGTTGTTCATTCCAATGTTTCCCTTTCTGTGTTCATCAATTCGTTGATAAAAGTGTCGGCAAGTATAGCCGACATAGCTTGATTCACACAAGCAACACTGAAATTTATACACAACGCATTGTTCGTTAACAATCTTAAGCCCATCCAAGAGTCACACGAGTTCTCCGAGTTCAAAACTCATGAAACGCGTGATTTAATTCGCTTGGAAAATTAACTCTATACGAGCTTACTTCGTGTTAGCCACGAGTGAGGTTTGACCTTTACGGAGTTGGTTACGAGTTATGTACGAATTATGCCAAGCGAAGTATTAAGAATTTAAAACCTTCACAAGCAAAATTGTTTATCTAATTTAAAACTAAGGTGTAAAACAAGGATGTCCGCTGTCTCTTATTCTTTTTAACGATGTATATCAATGAACTAAATAAATTAATCAAAAGCCGAAATCTTGGGGTCGAAATTTTTAATGTAAAAATTGGTAGCCTCTTTTGGGCAGACGACGTAATTTTGATTGGAAATAGTGAAAACGACTTAGAATTATTATTGAATGCTGCAAGTGATTTCGGCCAAAAATGGAAGTCGATAAGTCGTCCGTTCTTATAACAGGACAGCGTATTAACAAATACAGGATATGGAATCTTGGTGATAAATACATAAAAGAAACAGATAATCATAAATATCTAGGTGTGTTTATCTCTTTATTGCCTATATAAGATCAATAATTAAGGAACAAGAAGATTTTAATAGAATTTTTTATGGTGACCTACTCTGGAAGAATCGGTCTTCCCACAACCAACTATGCATGTAGTGTCTGGTTTACCAACAGTAAAACATCTATTGACCGTATTGAAAACCTTCAATAGCAAATGGCGAGATTTTTAATAAAATCCCCAAGAAATGTTGCTAAGGAGGCCCTTTATGGTGATCTAGGATGGAATTCTGTAGAATCCATCCAGACAAACATTAGAATTACATACTTTAATAGACTTAAAAAACATGGAAGATCGTAGGTGGCCAAGATTACTTTTTTAGCTATATTTCAAGTTTATGATGTTTCAAAATGGCAATGGTTAAATAATATTAAGAAAAGTCTCAGTAATTGTAATTTATTAGATAGTTTCAATCTTAACTTATCACATACACTGACTAAAGATTTTAAAGATTTTAAAGAAATGAATAATATATATGATAAATCAAACAGGTTTGATCATGCTCAAAGGAAGTCGTCACTTAATGACTATATCTGAACCAAATTTTGAGTTACTGTATACCTCCTTGACAAATGTAATTTTTCAGAAGTGGCTCTTAAATTTAAAGCTCGATCAAACTCGCTTGATTTAGAAGGTCGCAAAGAAGCCTGGTCAACTGTAAACACAGGTCTTTGCAAATTATGTAAAAGGTGTTGTAAAGAAACAGTAGATCACTTTGTTTTTGAATGCTGTAAATTTAACAATATTAGAGATACAATTTTCCAGGAAGTTGAAAATGAACTTAATGAATACAACCTTGATATATTTTGGGATATGTTTACTTCAAGTTTAGCAAATTTTAGACACCATCTTTTCTTTGATGACCTGTCTATCCATAATGAATTTCCTCTTAAATACAATTTGGTTGATTCTGATTACAATGATGCAAGTTTTATCTTTGACAAATATTGTAAAAAATACCTTTATATTGCTTGGATGAAACGCAATGAGCTGTACAAGAACCTGTAATATTATACTGAATTTAACTTTGATTCTGCCCTGGTCCGTAGAAAAAGAAAATTAATAAATAAATAAAATAATTACATAATCCGGTAACTTCACATGACTTCTAAGTACAGGTTTTTGTGCGGCTCAGTGTGTTTCATTCAGTTTACTTATTATATTTTAGTAAGATTTTTTTTTGGTTATACTAATAAGGGTAAAACTTTACTGTAAATTGCTTGGTTTTGTTTTTGTTATGCTATTTATATTTTTGCTTTCCTTTCCTTATATTTTATATTGTTAATGGGTGCACCATCTAAGTGATGGGTGCCACTGATCTAAAAGTGAACCGTAAATCGTATCGAATCGTATTCTAGCTCCTCCATGCGCAATATACTGTGCTATTGTTAACATATTAGGTGTTAATCATGTTACTGTGTAATCCTAATTCATGTTACCTACATTTGGTTTTCTATCATATGTATATTTTTTTTTGTTCACTTGATATTAAAAATGCGTCCATGGTGGACTGTAGTCTGTTTGAAGTATTATTTTTAGACGCACCTTTATCATGTGAAGTGTGCCACTGTTTCAAAAGTGTAGTTTCCGAATAAATTATTATTATTATTATTATTATTATTATTATTATTATTATTATTATTATTATTATTATTATTATTATTATTATTATTATTAT